GATTGACATTGCACATTGTTGCATAGTTTGTTGTCTATAACAATTCCCAAGTCCTTTTCATGTGTTGTTATCCCTAATTCGCTTCCATTAAGGGTATACGTTGCTTGTGTATTCTTTACGCCGAAGTGCATAACTTTGCATTTTTCAACATTAAATTTCATCTGCCATTTGAGTGCCCAGTCCCCCAGTCTATCTAAATCCCTCTGCAGCAAAGTAATATCTTGCTCACATTGTATTGTTTTACAAAGTTTGGTGTCATCTGCAAACACTGAAACATGACTTTCAATGCGGTCTTCAAGATCATTTATAAACATGTTAAATAGAAGGGGTCCCAGAACAGACCCCTGAGGGACACCACTTGCCACCTCTGTCCAGCTTGAAAATTTACCATTTATGACAACTCTTTGTACTCTGTTTTTAAGCCAATGTTCTACCCAAGAACAAGCATTTTCATCTAGACCGATTTCCTTGAGTTTGAACACTAATCTATTGTGTGGAACTGTATCAAATGCCTTGGCAAAATCCAAAAGATCACATCCACGGCAACACCCTGATCTATACTTCTACTTACTTCTTCGTAGAACGCAATCAAGTTAGTTTGACATGACCTGTGCTTCATAAAACCATGCTGATTTTTGCTGATAACCATGTTCTTCTCAAGGAATTCTTGAATATTATCCCTTAATAAACTTTCAAATATTTTACCAGCCACAGAAGTTAAGCTCACAGGTCTATAATTTCCAGGCAAGGATTTTGAACCCTTTTTGAATATAGGAACCACATCTGCCTTCCTCCAATCCTCCGGAACACTTCCTGAAAGAAAAGAATCTTGAAAGATTAAAAACAGAGGTTCACTTATTTCTGCACTTAGTTCCTTAAGTACACGTGGATGGATACCGTCAGGCCCTGGAGCTTTGTTTATATTAACTTTCTTTAGTTGCTGCAGCACCTTGTCTTGAGTTAACCAATTACAATTATTCTGCAAGTTTTTAGTAGCAATCATTTGCACATCTATTGCCATGGGTTCTTCCTTAATATATACGGAGGAGAAAAAGTTATTTAAAATTCCTGCCTTTTCCTGGTCTTCATTAATTAACACCCCCGTTTCAGTTTTTAGTGTACCTACACTTTCATTTTGGGGTTTTTTAGAATTTATGTACTTAAAAAATGCTTTGGGGTTGGTTTTGCTCTCTTCAGCTATCATTATTTCATTTTGAAGTTTAGCAAGTCTAATTGCCTTTTTGCACGCATTATTTGCATCCTTATATCTTTTATAAGATGCATCTGATTTGTCCGATTTAAATGCTTTAAATGCCCTTCTCTTAGTTGTAATCTCTTGTTTTACTTCTCTACTAAGCCATGTTGGTTTTAATTTGTTTCTTTTATATTTATTTCCCAATGGTACATACTGAGAAATGTACCTTTGTAATATTTGTTAGAAGATGATCCATTTATCCTCAGTGTTCTTTTCACTAAAGAGTTTATGCCAGTCAATATATTGTAAAGCTTCCCTTAACTTATTGAAATTGGCCTTTTTAAAATTATATGTTTTAGTATTCCCCATGTGCTTTTGTTTTTTTGAGTTTATTTCAAAGGACACTATATTGTGATCACTATTTCCCAAGTGCTCACCTACTTGAATGTTGGTCAAAAGATCAACGTTGTTTGTTAAAACCAGGTCCAGACAAGCATCCATTCTAGTTGGTGCTTGTACAAGTTGTGACATGAAGGTGTCATTTAACAAGTTTAAAAACCTAATTCCCTTTGCTGAGGCACTAGTCCCTCTGTCCCAATTTATATCCGGGTAATTAAAATCTCCAATAATTAAAGTGTTACCCAGATTTGCAGCTTTCTCAATTTGCTCAAACAGCTGTTGTTCCTCGTCAATATTAACATTAGGTGGTTTATAACATATCCCAACCAATAGTTGGTTTCCCTTCTTTTCCCCCAAGCAGATATTTACCCATAAAGCTTCCACATTATCCTCCTCGCATTCCATTTGCTTAACATTTGGCTTTAAATCATGTTTGACATACAAACATACCCCACCACCCTTCTTGTTTTTCCTATCCTTCCTAAATAACATGTACCCATTTAAGTTAGCTGCCCAGTCATGTGTCTCATCCCACCATGTTTCAGTTATGCCTATTATATCATATTGTTTAGTGTATGCTAATGCCTCTAGTTCCCCCATTTTGTTATTTAGGCTCCTTGCATTAGTAAGCATACATTTAATATTATGCGTCACTTGTATATTTTGTGAATTTTCAACATTACACAGCTTCTCTGTTCTGAGCTTGCCCCTCCCCCCGTTTCCACCCCCCTTATACTGTGCTAAAGCCCATCTCCTTTCTGTCCTATCTCCATTTTGTAGATTGCTATGACCCTCCCCCCTACTACTAGTTTAAAATCTCCTCCAACCTTCTAGCCATCCTATCCCCCAGCACTGCAGACCCTCTCCCGTTTAGGTGCAATCCATCACCACTATAAAGGTTGTACCCAATCGCAAAGTCGGCCCAGTGCTCTAAAAACCCAAAACCCTCCTTCCTGCACCAAGACTTAAGCCACGCATTGACCTCTCTAATCTCCCGCTGCCTTTCCACTGTAGCACGTGGCACAGGTAATATCTCAGAGAATACCACCTTGGAGGTCCTTTTCTTAAGTTTGCTACCTAATTCCCTGAAATCATTCTTTAGGACCTTCCATCTTCCTCTTACTTTGTCATTGGTACCAACATGGACCATGACCGCTGGGTCATCCCCAGCCCCTCCCAATAATCCATCCACTCTGTCAGCAACATGCCGGACCCGAGCACCCGGGAGACAGCAAACTGTCCGGTTGAGCCGATCAGAGCGGCAGATTGCCCTATCTGCTCTCCTAATGATAGAGTCCCCTACCACCACAACCTGTCTTGCCTTCCTTACATTTTGATCCCCACCCGTACTAGGGGGGCTGTTAGCTCGGCTGTTAGAAGTAACAGCTTCCTCTAATACAGCTACTCCTGAGCTGATGCTCCCAACATCTTCCCTCAAATGGGCAAATCTGCTAGGTTGCACCAAATCAGGACTAGCTAGCCCTTTCCTCTTCCCTCCCCCCCTGCTTCCTCGCCACACTGTCACCCAGCTACATGCCTGTTCCCCATCTGTCTTATCTCCTCCCTTTCCACTACCTGTCCCCACTAAACTCTGCTCAGTGAGCAGTAGACTCCTCTCAAGATTATCAATCTCCCTCAATGTTGCGATTTGCTTCTCGAGATCTCCAATCTGAGCTTCCAGAGAAGCCACTCGCACACAACCATCACAGAGGTATGGACCCTGGACGGGTACATCCAGGCATCCATACATGCAACAAGATGTGCATTGAGTTAAACCAGCAATCTTGCTAACACTCATTTCCCCTTTAAACAGTAAATAAAAACAGTTACCTTGATAGTTTAAACCCCTTGCTTGTTTTAACTCCTGGTTTTCTAACTCCTACTTGAAAGAGTCTATTTAATAGAGGCTGCTTTCAAATAATGTGAGCAAGCTCAGTGAGTTAGGGGTGTGCCTTTATGGGGATACAAATCCCACACAGGTGTAATTAATGAACACTCCCCCAATCAATCAAGCAGCAGCACACAAAAAAGGGGGGGAAACCAGAACACAAAAAAAAAAAATAAAAAGTAAATTTAAAAAAACAAAAATAAAAAACAAACCACTCTCCACAGTATACAAACCACTCCAAGTAACTCCTGGTTTTCTAACTCCTACTTGAAAGAGTCTACTTAATAGAGGCTGCTTTCAAATAATGTGAGCAAGCTCAGTGAGTTAGGGGTGTGCCTTTATGGGGATACAAATCCCACACAGGTGTAATTAATAAACACTCCCCCAATCAATCAAGCAGCAGCACACAAAAAAGGGGGGGAAACCAGAACACAAAAAAAAAAAAAAAAAGTAAATTTAAAAAAACAAAAATAAAAAACAAACCACTCTCCACAGTATACAAACCACTCCAAGTAACTCCTGGTTTTCTAACTCCTACTTGAAAGAGTCTACTTAATAGAGGCTGCTTTCAAATAATGTGGTTACATTGCACGTTGACAAATTCCCATTTTTTTTTTTTTTTTTTTAATTCTTTATTTTGGTGGTGCATAAAATAGACATGGTTGGTACATGGCAAATACGTAAGATGCAGGTATACAGAGTAGTTTTACAATAGCATTACTATACTGTGGCACCAATTTTTTATTTATTTTTTCCATAATGCAACAAGGTTCAACTTTCGGGATGTGTCTGAGAGGGGCAACTGGATAAGGGGGTAGTTGTACGGGTGGGAGCTCTCAGGTGTTCCCGAGATTTAGGTATTAATATGCTCGAGATACTGTATCTAGTGGGCTAGAATGGGGTCAGCATATTTTACATCACGGAGGATTGTACGTGTTCACCCCGGGCATATTCTAAAGATTGTCTGGTGGCCTGAGGTTGGGAATATCAGGTGTGCAGATGTGGTGTTAGATCGCCTCACTTATGGGGTTGTACCTCCGTTTCTATAAAGTACCCCTAACCTAAGGGGGTAGCGGGGGGGGGGGGTGAGAAGTCAGGAGGCTTCAGGCTACTGGCCAATTCACTATTAGTCGTCTCCAATTGCTATGCATTCTACACAAACATGGTATATATGTAAGAATAGAGGAGAGAGAAGTGAGAAAACAGATTTAAACAATTTATCAACAGTTCTCCATGTCCGGACTCGGGTGCGTTCAGGTGGTAGTAGCTTGCGAGGTGTCGTTCCTTGGGACGAAGGGGGTGATGCGGTCTAGGTCCCAGTTTCCAGCGGCAGTGTTAGAGTGCTGTCCCCTGTTCTGCCCTACCAGTCCCAGAGCTTTCATGAGCGCTGGTGCCCCTTCTACAGAGGTGATGGTGTGGTTAGTTCCATTGTGGGGTACTATCAGGGACCCCGGGGCTCCCCAGCGGTAGATGATGTTTGCGTTTCTCAATTGTGAGGTGACAGTTCCCATTGATTTGCGCCAGAGTAGTGTGCTTTTGGTGAGATCTTGAAAAAAAGACAAGGAGGAACCCTCAAAGGTCAGAGGCGTTTTGTTTCTCAAGGCTGTCATTATTCGGGTTTTGTCTTGGAAGGTTAGGCATCTAAGGATGACGTCCCTTGCCACACCGGGTGTCAACTTGGCAGAGCTATTGATGCGATGCACCCCATCTATGATTATCGTTTTAGCGGTAGCGTGAGGTAATATGGTGGATAGTAACCTGCGGAGATAGTGTGGGAGCTCCTCGGCTGTAACTTCATCAGGGATTCCACGTATTTTTATGTGATTTCGGCGCTGTTTGTCTTCTAGGGCCGTGAGTTGCAGGGAGAAGTGTGAGTGATGTTCTTGTAGTTGGTGCACTGTCTCTTTAATAGTTTTTATGTCTGATCTGGCGTCAAGGATATCCTCCTCAGCGGTTTGCACCCGGTCTGTGATAGTTTGTATGTCGTTTCTCAACAGTTTTAGGTCTGCTGCCCATAATCTGTGTATGTCAGCAAGCAGGTTTTTCAAGTCATTTTTGGTGGTGGGGGCCGACCCGTCAGAGGTCTCAATGGAGTTTATGAGACTTGCCTGTGTGAGTAGTGTGGGTTCTTTCTCCCTCTGCGCCAGGGTACTCGCCCCTTGATCCTCTGTGCGGAGCGTTTTGGTTTGTGTAGGTTGCCTCAGCATGTCTCCTATGTCCCTGCCGTCTGCCGTGGAGTTCGGTTTTTGTGACCGGCGTCCCATTGCAGGCATGGAGTTTTGGGTGGCCTGTGTGGCGTGAGGCTCGGTGCCTGGCGGGCTCAGAGTGTAGCTACCGCGCAGGAGAGCGTCCAGGCCCGGGATCGTCGGCGCGTAGTAGGCCGCAGACCTGCGCCGCGGCTTGGAGTGTTTCGCCGTGTATAAAAACGGCATCTATCGGTGCGGCTCCGGTTAGGCAGGTCAGCTGGAGCGTTTTTGTGGTCGGATGGGGCTTTGTTGGTCGGATATTGGCGGGTTTCAAGTCGTTTTTGGAGGAGCTTGCAAGAATGGCGTCTGGTCTGGTCGGTTAGCAGGCCCCGCCCCCGACAAATTCCCATTTTTGTGCTCCTAAAAAGTAAATTAGTGGGGTACACTTCATATCTGATAGTCAAATAGAACTGTCAAATACTGCTGTGACATTGCAGATTTAAAAATGAAAAATGTTGGCTTCCTAAAAAGTACATTAGTGGGGTGCACTTCAAATCTGAGAGTCAAATAGAACCGTCAAATACTGTGGTTACAGCACAGTTTTAAACATTCTAATTTTTTGGGTGCTAAACTGCTAAATAGTACATTTGAGAGTCAAATAGAACTGTCTCATATTGTGGTTACAGCACAGTTGTAAAAGTTCTGTTTTTTTGGGTGCAAAATAGTACATCGTGCCAGACAATCTACCTGTGCATGGCTAGTGTGATACAATACATTTACATCGTAAAAATGCAATAACCCACAGACGATGGGTGAGAATTTTTTTTTGCAAGCGGAACTTTAATTCGAATTTACTACATCAGCATAAGAGGGAGCAGGATGCAAAAGCAGAGCGGCTGCCTCCTAGCGCTTGTTGGCATGTATTATCCAAGTAACAGATGGAGCAATCAAAGTAACCATAATTGATTTAATGAGCCATTTGCAGTTTCACTGTAGTGGCTGTGCGCACTTTTGGCTTTTTGATAAAGCCTATCCAAGGAGAAACGCATTAAATGTATTGTTTATAACTTTTTTATCACTATTTTATTATATATTTGTTTTTGGCACCCCCAGGCATAAAGGGGATAAACCAATGTTTAGTCGATCTTCCCCTTCCAGAAACACAGGCACAGCTACTGTAGAACACCGAGAACTCCCGAACTGTGATGTTATACTATGGCACTTTGTTCAATGCCATGTAATGTATTTGGTTGTACCCTTGTTAATATTTATATAATTTTTTTACTCATGCCATTATGCCTGATTACACCTTTACGTGTATCAGGCATATTAGGCATAAATCATTTCCCCAGCCGGGCGCAGCCTTGTGCGTTCCGACAGTGTGTGTGTGTGGTGTTTTTTTTTTTTTATTGCCATGACAACGGCTGTAGCTTTGTGCCAGCCGTCGTCATCTGACATTCCACGCCCCCTTTCTGATGACGGCCGCAGCTTCGTGCGTGCCGTCGTCGGCATTAGTCATGCCTCTCCTCCCGACGTCAGCCGCATTCTCTAAGTGTGCTGACGCCTCCCTCACCCTCCCACTTAGATGCCGGCGGCTGCGCAGTGCTCGCTGGCGTCTAACTACATGACCCAGAATTCCCTGCGGTTTTTATGCCGGTCACATGACCGCGCAATATATTACCAATTATATAACTAAGCTTCGTTTTCCATATATGTTCATATATTAGAGCTCTTATGTTTTAATACAATTATTGTATAATGTAATCATTCTGTTTTTAGTTTGTTTTATTTATATTATTTTCAATCCCAATTTTGATTGGCTGCTTACATTTTGGCATCAATTTCAAAGGATTGTATTTGTTATTTAAAGATTCCTTTGCCAGGTATCAGGTTCTTACTACATATTGATAACGCCGAACTGGTGAAACGCGTTTATGGTTATTATATTGTGTATTTTTTATATATTAAAGTATATTTGGTCACTTGTATTGGTGCCATTTATCTTTTGATACACGCTAATTTGTTTTTTACCTGGCATCCTTTTATTATCCTGGACTCCAAGTAATCCTAGGTGGGGATCATACCACCAGCGCTAACATCAAGGAGCAGTCGGTCTGCTTCTGTCTTGTGAGTACCCACTTTATTTTATTTATCCTATGTTCAGTATTTTACTCAATGAACACTACTGGCTGTTTCTCTTTTATCCGAGTGATGAACATATCACTGACGGAGGAAGCTCACTCCATATCCCAAAAGTGGGGATTAAACCGCTGTACGCCTTTCATACTAGAACGGGTTTTAGCTCTTTTAAATGTGAGTTTTATTCCAGCTTTTTATATTTTTTATTCTTTTATTATCAAGCATTTGGTTCTATTTGGTTCTCTATTTTTTTTTTTTTTTTATCTTTTACATATGAGCGGATCCATACGGAAGAAAATAATAAGGACAATTGCTCTGGACCAAGTATTGACATACTCTACAACTTTAATAAGACCATTTTAGATAAGACTTTCTCCTTTTATCTATTTATTTATTTTATTTGGACTATTCATTATTATACCTAGTTTTATCTGGCGCAGCCCTTATTTTTTATTTCGTTTTCTAGTGTTACGTCTAAGGGTCCTTGAGGTATTCCCTTAAAGGGCCGCTGCCTTATTGTGTTATTTAGCGCTTACTCTTTGTCTTGTTCTTACATATTGTTCATGTTGTGCAAGATAGACGGAGCCAGGTACCAGTGATATAAAATTTTATAATGATTTTCAAAATGGTCGGTGCAATACGAAATACCTTTTAAAGCTTTAAAAAAAAAAAAAAAACGAACCATTCTTCTAAATCGTACTGAGATAATGGAGATATCTCAAGTGATTTATAGTTTGTATCTGTTTCAGGTACCTAGTATAGTTCTTTCAATTTGTCAATGATTAGCATACATTCCAGTTCACATGCATTTGTTAATCCATACTTAAGCTTCAATTTTTCCAAAGAAAGAATAGCATTGCCATAATAAAAAAAAAATATCTAGATTAGTTATAGAGCAATCCTTCAACAGTTCTAATTTTAAGGATGGTGTATAATCTTTCAATAACTCAATAGGCATTGCTCAATATAAACTGGGAGAATGGTCATTTTAAAAAAAATGATGTCCCAGGCCTTAAGAGTAGTAGATAAAAATAATTTTGTAATTCCAGGTCTTTTCTTAGGATTTATCCAAGGTAATTTTGACAATCTAACCGGTAAAATTTTTGATTCTTCTATTTCCATCCATCTCGGTTTATCAACCTGGTTATTAAAGCTCACAACCACTGCAGCGTTAGTGACAAAATAATATTTGTGGATATCGGGGACACCAATACCGCCATTTGATTTATGGTGCTGCAGGGAAGTGATCTTTACTCGGGCAGGCTTGTTCCCCCAGATGAACTTAAGCATTGTCGAGTGAACTTTATTAAAAAATAATAATGGGATGGACAGAGGGATGGCCCTAAAAAATATATAAAATGTTTGGAAGTATCGTCATTTTAATAGATGTGACCCTCCCCGGCCATGAGAGCTCCATTCCGCCCCATCTCTCCACCTCTTTTTGTAAGTTCGACCATGCTTTCCTCAAGTTGTGATTATGCATAGTGACCAAATCTTTGCATAAATTAATGCCAATATATTTTTTATAGTTAGTTCTCCAATCAAATAAATATGATTTCTTAAGGGCAGTGGTTTCCAAAATATGTAAATGAAACGAAGGGCCCGAGTCTTAGACTCATTTAATTTGTAGTACGATATCTCACCAAATTGAGTTTAAATGTCCTTGAGGTGTCTCAAGGATTCTTTTGGGTTTTTGACAGCTAGGATTATATTGTCTGCAAACAGGCCAATTTTGTGAACGGATTCTTTAATAGCAATTCCTACAGTTTGTGGGGTCGTTCTAATTAGTTCGGCCAGGGGTTCTATCGCTAAAACAAATAAAATTGGAAATAAAGGGCACCCCTGTCTTGTCCCATTGATTAGAGAGAAAGTTTTGGACGTGAACCCGGAAGCTGAGACATGGGCGGAGGGTGCGCAATATAGCGCCTTAATTGCTGTGATAAAGGATGATGGTATGTTGAACCTGTCTAACATTCTCCATAAATATCCCTAATGTATCCTGTCAAACGCCTTCTCTGCATCTAGAGATAGAAGCAAAGAAGGCGTTTTGGTCATATTGTTGTGCTGAATCAAGTTTATGAATCTTCTAGTTCCGTCTGGTGCTTGTCTATCCTGTACAAAACCCACTTGATCCTTATTAATTAGCAATGGGATTAATTTGGTTAATCTATTTGCGAGAACTTTAGAATAAATCTTTGAATCGTTATTAATCAGAGAAATGGGCCTAAAGTTAGGGCATCGATCAGGAGTTTTTCCTGGTTTTGGCAAGGTGACTATTCGTGCGCACAAGGACTCCTCTGGCATCTTTCCCCCGGACTTATAGGAATTGAACATTTTAGTCATATGGGGAATTACAATTTCTGGAAAAGTTTTATAATATAAAATAGTAACTCCATCGGGACCAGGGGCTTTTCCAGATGGCATAAGTTTGATCGCGTCAGCTATCTCTTATATATTTCACATTCTAAGCTTTCTAAAAGTCTTGGGGAGAGACAAGGCAATGTCACTCGGTCTAAGAATTTATCAATTATTGTTGCAGAAGGCTGGGGAAGGTC